CCCATGCTGTAGCTCCACACCCACTGTATTCCCCCCTCCCCCAGTGTCCCCACTGCCTGCCTCCTTCCATCCTGGAGCTGCTCCTTCTGGCCTCACCCACCCCCCGCCAGCCTCTCGTTCCCCCTTGGTGCCCCCCCACTGCAGGGGGTTCCCGGGCTTACTCGTTGAAGCAGTGTGCCGCGGAGACCAGCCACCTGGCCGTCACAATGGCTGCCCCGCAGAAGTGTTCATTGCTCTCTCGCAGGCTGACCTGCCACGGGAACTCGCCCAGCAGCGCCTCCGATCCGCCCACGATCCGAGTGGCGGATCGCATGGCTGGCCGGGTCCCGCAGTCTGCAAGAGAGCAGGGGAGGGGGATGGCGAATAGGGGAGGCCAGCGGAGCCCCCTCCCCCCCATTAAACCCTGGAAGTCCACAAAGGGAGGAAATGCACGACAGGGACTTCAGCTCTGGTTTGGGGTTCAGAGCAAATTAGGAACTCCCCAAATGCATTTGCCCCACCCCCCCCTGCCCAGTTCAGGTTTTTTTTTAATAAGTTTGCAGTTTGCACTTGGTCAGAGAGGAGGGTTCTTCGTCTTTGACCCAGTAGAAGAAACCTTCCAGCCACCCGTTGTCCTGGTTGTGGTCGCTCTGGCCTGACTGGTCACACTGAGTGAGGATTAGCTCATGCACAGGCACCTCCCCCCAACCTAACAGCCCCCTTCTGGCTTCCCAAGGCCGGGTGCCCTTCCTCATTCCCCCCCCCACCTGGAAAGGTAGCCTCTCTAGAGACCCTCCCCCCCCGAAGGTCAATTATCTCTGCGAAGGGTCCTTCCCTCTGCGTGGTTCAGCCCTCCGTGTGGGGAGGCACCCGCAGCCTGCGCCCATCCTCCCCCAAGGGAGTTTGGGAGGGAGCACACAGAAGCCCAGCTTTGCAGAGGCAGGCAGCCTAGCAGCCCCAGCAGTGAGGGACCCACCACACCCGGCCTCGTCAGAACCATCCGAGCAATCTTTCCAGCCGTCACACTGCAGGTTTCCTGGGGCTACACACTGGCCATCGTGGCAGGCAAAGGCCCCCCCTGGACAGAGTCCTGTGAACAAAACAGTGGCAGAATTGACTGAGGTGGTTCTTCCCCTTCAGCACAGACACCGGGGGAGGAGTGGGGATGCATTGGGGGGAGTCCAGCCATGTTGCTCAACCCCACCCTGTAATTGAGCCGGGAAATCTTTGCCCTCGGCAGCCTGGGATTTTGCGGTAGCAGTTTGGCTGCTTTTCCACCGCCTCGCTCCTGCCCCCAAGTGCCCCTCTTCTCTCGTGCACCATGCTAGGGCCAAATGGGCCGCCAGTCCCCAATGCTGCCCATCAGAGGGAGGGATGGAGCTGCCCCCCAAAAAATTAGGGTCCTGGACAGGTTCCACGGTCGACCAGTCTACCTGACTTGAGTCCTGTGCCCGAGAAGGTGAGGTCCCACGGCCCTGCTGGAAAGAGGGGGGGCAGAAGGGGGGGCAGGTGAGCAATACAGGAGAAATTGGGCTAATTAGGGGCACACACCACCCCCGACAACTTGGGGCAAAGGGCCAGAAAGAGTGCAGGGTTACCCAGGAGGGAAGCAGCTGAGATGGTGCCATAAGTGGGTATCCTGATGCCCTCAATGCCCACAGCTGCTGCTAGTCCCCGCCTCAGGATGTCCATTTCGATGCCAGGGCTGGGCGGCGGTGCAGAGAAACAGAGGTGGAAGCGGACAATGAGGCTGGCATTGCCCTCCCTGCCAAACAGAAGCAGCAAGAAGCCTTTACCCTCTCTTTCTGGCGGGAGGGTGGAGGAGAGGCTCCCCCCAGGCCAGCCCTCCGGCCCTGCCCACCTGTATTGCAAGATGGTGCACCTGGAGCAGCTGCCGTCCAGGGGAGAGTTCTGGAAGCTGCTTTTGAACTGAACAGTCAGAGAGGAGAACAAGGGAGCACAGTGACCCTGTTGCTGTGCCCATCAGAACATGGGCGGGGGGAGTCTCAGAGCAGCCTCGCCCCAAGAAAAGACCCATAGGCTCACTCCAGCAATTAGCCAAAGGGGAGGCTAGCCTGGGGCTGAGAGGAGCCACGGCACACCCCAAGCTGGCTGGCAGGATGCCTTCCCTCAGCCTTCACCTGGGAACAGCCCAGCCAGCCGTGGGCAGCTGACCCGTCTTGTGCACGGCCACCCTTCCTAGGGCGCGGGAGAGGCTTCTCCTGGGGAGCGCTGAGTGGACAACCCTGCCTCAGGGCCGGAGCAGTGTCCGGTGGCCCTTGCCAATGGTTCACCCACACACCACCCTCTTGAGGAGGAGGCAGGAGTCCTTACCAGCTGCTCCAGAATAGGGGTCAGCAGGCGGGAGTAGCCAGTCCTGGGCTGCTGCAAACTGCTCCGGTAGGGGATCCCTCGCAGCTCTGCCATGTGCTCGAAGTGGGTTTCTTGCTTCCCCGGGAAATCTGCAGCAGGAGAGAGCCACCAATGCCCTGGTGGTTGCCAAGGGCCCCTCCTAGCACTGCCAGCCCACCAAGCTCCTACCCCCTGCCAGCCAACACAGTTGCTTAGCTGCCAGCCCCCTGCCAAGCTTTGGGGCTGTCTGATCTCGGCAATAGGAGGGCTACTGCTGAAAAGATGGGCAGGCCGGCTGCCAGTATAGCAATAGCAATAGCAGTTAGACTTATATACCGCTTCATAGGGCTTTCAGCCCTCTCTAAGCGGTTTACAGAGAGTCAGCGTATCGCCCCCAACAACAATCCGGGTCCTCATTTTACCCACCTCGGAAGGATGGAAGGCTGAGTCAACCTTTGAGCCTGTGAGATTTGAACAGCCGAACTGCAGAACTAGCAGTCAGCTGAAGTAGCCTGCAGTGCTGCACTCTAACCACTGCGCCATCTCGGCTCTATCTGTGTCCTCTTGGCACAGATGCCCCAGAAGGTCCTGGCACAAGATGAGCACCGAATTCAGACTCTCCTTGTCTAGCCAAGAGGTTCCCTGCTTCTGCCCTTTCCTTTGCAAAATTGCAGCCATCCCCAGGGGACACGGATCCCTCCCCGCCGCACCTTTGCAGTTCTTGCAGACAGAATGTTGCAAGTGCCCCCCCCCCTGCTACTCCCGTTTCCCCCAAGGCAAGCCATGAGGTTGATCTCTGCCTCCTTTCCCAGAGGATGCCAGACCTATCAGATCAGGTAGTGTGGGCCCACTTCAGGTCCCTCTCCTTAAACATGTTCAGCTGGCAGGGCCCGGGAAGTGCACCTTCTCCATTTTGCTAGTTCTGCCCCCCAAGTGCTGCTGGTCTAGGGGAAAAGGAGCTCTGTCGAGGTATGTGAGGGGCTGCTTGGGGCTGCTCTGTTGGGCTGACAAGGAGGTCCCACCACCAAAGGGCTCTTTCTGTGTCAGTACAATGGGGCATACGTTTTGTAGGGGACTTTAAGCTCCAGTGGGGAACCCTGGTTGACCCTCAAATCCAGTTCAAACCAACTCACAAACAAGGATGCCGATACACAGGGCTGCCGCGGTGCTTGTGAGGACAGTGGCCAAGGCAGCCCGCCTGCAGATTCCACCGCCAACCAGGGGCTGTGCTGTCTGTCTGTCCAGTGCCAGCTTTGAGTTGATGCCTGGTGGTCCCATGGCTGCCCCACAAAGCAGGATGGACCTGGAGACGGAGACAGAGAGAGCAGGTCTGAAGTCCCCTCTCTCTGCTTCTAGGCCTGGAGCCCTGAGAACCAGCACGGCCTCCCACAAGGGCTGTTGAGACACAGGATGTCCACTTCTCACGTGGGGGAACTATGGTTGCCTCCCCAGCCAACAACAACTTTCCTGACCCAGCTACGAAGCCTCTGCAAGAGAGGCAGAGAGGCCGAGGCGCCTCATGGCCAGAGTTACCTGAGGGAATTACCTGACGTCCATCTGAATGCCTTGTAACCTGCAGAGACCGCTCCGAAGGGCTCCGTTGGCCTCTGCAAGCCTTTGAACAGAGAAGCAGGGCCCAGAGCCAGTTTGCAGCGTGAATGGCTGGTTATTGATTCATTATTTATTCCTTCAGCTTTGCAAAGTCCCATTGAGGTTTATAAGCCCAGTGACAACAATGACAGCTGCTCTGGTGTGGTGTTGGGCATCAGGCTAGAAACCAGAAGACTGAGAGTTCTAGTCCTGCCTTAAGACAGAGCCAGCCGGGGGACCCTGGGCCAACCGCTCTCTTTCAGCCCTAGGAAGGAGACAGTGGCAGAAATATTGCCAAGAAGGGACACGCAGGGCCATGTCCGGGGAGTCGCTGGGATTCAAAGATGGGAGACTTTAATGGCATTGTGAATCCAAATATGGACTATAAAACACATAAAACAAAAAAATTAAACAGGAAGCCTCTGCCAAAATCCTTTTTTAGGATGACAGATGAACTAAATTTAAAAGATATATGGAGAGAAAGAAAC